TATATTCAAATATAATATTTATTTATACACATGATTTATTATAAATTTTAGTTATATATAATAAATATTTGACATGAAATATTAATTACTTTGTTAAAAAATACTTTCAATTACATAATAACATTTAAAAGTGACTCTTTGAAAAGAAAAAGAAAAAATAAAAGTGATTTTATTTAAAATAATTTATCTTATTTAAATATAAAAAATGTGATAAATTATTTTTTTATTACTAATAAACAAAGACGTATAATATGGGATTGACCTTTTAAATGGGAATGTTTAATTTTAACTCTTATATTAAAATGGACAAATTATATTAAAATAATTCAAATAAAATTACAATATACTATCCTTATCTAGTTATCTCTATTATTGTCATCATCATTGTTGTTACTATCATTACTATCATCATCATCACCATCATCATTGTTGTCACTTTGTTAAGGTGGTGGTGACAATGACAACAGTGATAATGATAAAGACGAAAATTGCAATATGGATGGTGATTGAGATAATGATAAAGACAATCATGATGGTGATAATATATGATAATTTTATTTATAATCTTTTAATTTAAATCGTTTATTTTAATTTAATGGTTAAAATTGAACATTTTAATTTTCATCTAAAAAAATCATTTGCATATGATATGTGTAACGATCCGACAGGTCACCACACTTAACGACACAACTGTTAATAGTGAAAGAATATAAAACTACAATCAACTACAATTAACATACTAGTAATATCGATGATAATATACACACGTATAATTTCAAGTTTATCAGCTACTAAAGCATATATAATGTATATATTTATAAAGTAATCCAATACTAATGTATGAAAGAATTCCTAATTGTCAGTCAGTTAAGACTACTAACAACCAACCACACTAAGGTAGCTTAAAACATTTGCACCGCCGTTGTCCAACATGGCCTAAACACAAGCTTTAACAGTAACTTATCATTGCTCTTCTCCCATACCAAATATGACAATTACAATCCAATCTCATGGAAACATAGAAAGGTAAACTAGTATTCAAAAAATAAACATAATCAGTATAAAGCAACTATACTGTTAACATAATAATTTAACACAATATCAATTTATAAATTTTCAACACTGTCGCCACCGGCCCAAAACGGGGCTTTCGGCACTCGC